CTGCCTCCCAGGTTCAAGCAATTCTCCCGCCTCAGCCTCCCAAGTAGCTGGGATTACAGGCACCTGCCACCATGCCTGGCTAATTTTTTGTATTTTTAGTAGAGGCAGGGTTTCCTCATGTTGGCCAGGCTGGTCTCAAACTCCTGACCTCAGGTGATCCACCTGCCTTGGCCTTCCAAAGTGCTGAGATTACAGGCATAAGCCACCATGCCCATCCTTTGTGCCTTTTAAGTGGGGTATTTATCCCATTAATATTCAAGGTTAGTATTGATACATTGGATTTAATCCTATCATTGTGTTGTTAGCTGGTTATTATGCTGACTTGCTTGTGTGGTTGATTTATAGTGTCACTGGTCTGTGTACCTAAACGTGTTTTTGTATTGACTGGTAATAGTCTTTCCTTTCCATATTTAATGTTCCTTTCAGGATCTGTTGTAAGGCGGGTCTGAACTCCCTAGGCATTTGCTTATTTGGCTATTTCTCCTTTGCTTATTAATGTAGTTTGATTCTGTGTCCCTACCCAAATCTTATCTCGAATTGTAATCTCCACATATCAAGGGAGGGACCTGGTGGGAGGTGATTGGATCATGGGGGCAGTTACCCTCCCACCAATGCTGTTCTCATAATAGTGAGGGAGTTCTCATGAGATCTGATGTTTTAAAAGTGGCAGTTTCCCCTGCACACACTCTCTCTCTCTCCTGCTGCCATGTAAGATGTGCCTTGCTTCCCCTTCACCCTCTGCCATGATTTTAAGTTTCTTGAGGCCTCTTAGCCATGCATAAGTATGAGCCAATTAAACTGCTTTCTTTATAAATTACCCAGTCTCAGGTAGTATCCTAGCAGTATGAGAATGAACTAATACACTTAAGAAGCTTAGTTTGGCTGGATATGAAATCCTTGGTTAAATATGTTTTTCTTTAAGAATGTTGACTATCAGCCCCCAATCTCTTCTGGCTTGTAGAGTTTCTGCTGAGAAGTCTACTGTTAGCCTGATGGGGTTCCCTTTTAGATGACCTGCCCTTTCTCTCTAGCTGCCTTTAACATTCTTTCATTTCAAATTTGAAAAATCTAACAATTATATGACCTGAGGATGATCTTCTTGAGTAGGATATTGTACAGGTTCTCTGTATTTCCTGAATTTGACTGTTGGCCTCTCTGGCAAGGTGAGGGGAGTTTTCAGGAGTGATATGCTAAAATGTGTTTTCCAAGTGGTTTTCTTTCTCCCCATCTCTTTCAGTGATGCCAGTGATTTATAGATTTGGCCTCCTTACATAATCCCATATTTCCTGGAGGTTCTGTTCACTCATTTTCATTCTTTTTTAAAAATTTTTGTCTGGCTGTCTTGTTTCAGAGAGCCAGTCTTCAAGTTCTGAGATTCTTTCCCCAGTTTGGTCTATTCCACTGTTAATACTTGCAATTGCATTGTGAAATTCTTGCAGTGTGCTATACAGCTCTATACAATCTGTTAGGTTTCTTTTTAATACTGGCAATTTTGCCTGTCAGCTCCTTTATCATGATTCTTAGTTTCCTTGGATTGTGTTTTGCTGTTGTCCTAAATCTCAATGATCTTCATTCCTATCTATACTCTGAATTCTATTTGTCATTTCAGCCAACTCAGCCTGTTTAAGAACCCTCATTGGAGAACTGGTGCTGTTGTTTGGAGGACATAAGACACTGGCCATTTGAGTTGCCAGAGTTCTTACGTTGGTTATTTCTCATCTTTGTGTATGGGTGTTCCTTTAACTGCAGTGTAGATTGACTACAGTCAGAAGACTTTTTTCCTGAATATTTTCATAGGGCTGAGGCTTTGTGCAGGGTCTTTATTTGTGGCTGACTTCTTATGTTTGGTTTTACAGGGTAGGTATGTTAGTGAGATATTTTTGGCATTGAAGCTGTGGGGTGTGACCCAGTAGGTGGTGCTTAGGTGCTTCATGAAGGTCAGTGGGTGATACAATTTGATGACATAAGATTCAAAACTGAGAGGCTTTAAGGAGGAGAGAAGGAGATGAGGGGTTTTGTGTAGTGGTCAGTAGGTAGGCTCTTTTCCAGTCATGTGACTCCCCTGTATTTCCTCATGGTTGCAGCTTGGCTCTCTCTCAGTGCTCTGAAAGTGTGGACTCCTCTCCCACTTGAGTGCTGGCTATAGATTGCAGCTTGGCACTCCTAGGCTGCCCACCACAGCTCTGGGGAGCTCTCAGGGTTTATGTTTCCTCCCCAGCTTGCAGGCAGCAAAGGGAAGGACCTTAGCAGTGGTTGTGACTGAGGGTCTTTTACTTGTCTCCTGGGGACTCCACCCCACAGAGATGCAGGTCAGCAATTGCTGAGTGTGATCGACCCAAGATGGGGGAACTGTGCTGTGGGTCCAAACTGGGGGTTCCCTGCCTGGTGACAAGCAGCAGGGGTGGGCGGGACCCGTGGGAGATGGACTGGTCTCTTCTCCTTGGGTTAACTGCAGTGCATTGGGGGTGTGGATGATGCACTTAGGGTCTTTGCTGTTTAATTAGTCTAAAGGTAGTAGGGGTAGTACCACTACAGAGGCAGTGGCAGAGAGGCTTTTGGTTGCCTCTGGGGGCTCCAACCCCAAGAAATGCAGAGTCACTGCTTTGGGAATGTTCAACCAGTGAGGTGGGTGGCTGCATTGCTGGTGTGAGTTGGAGCCTCCACTTGTTGGGGAGCAGGGGTTCAAGGGCTCACTGAGAGGAGACACTGGTCTCCTCTCCATGTGGTCACTGTGGTGTGCTATAAGCTTAGGTATAACCCTCGGGCCCTTTGTTTCTTCCCCAGACTGAGGGGAGCAGGGTTAGAACTGCTGCTGTGGCAGTGGCAGAGGGACCATCATATGCCTCTGAGAGCTTTTCCCCTCAGGACACTACCTGTGGGTATGCTCAGCTGTGGGTGGGGTGACTGTTCCGTGGTCACGAACCAGAGGCCCTGCCTGGTAAGGAGTAGGGGGTGGGGGTTCCCAGGAAAGAGAAACTGAACTCCTTTCTGTATGGTGGCTGTGGTGTGCTAAAGGTGCCAGTGTAGTGACTAGGACCTTTGTTCCTTCCCCAGCCTGAGGGCTGTTAGGGCAGTAGCACTGCAACTGCAGTGGGAGGGTTTGTGGGTTCACTCTGGGATTTCCTCTTTGAAGAAATGCGGGGGTGCCTCTGATTGAAGTGGTCAGGCGGAAACAGGGTGGTTGTGCTGGAGTGCCCGGTTGGGCAACCCTACCTAGTGAGGAGAAGTGAGGACTGGGACTTGTGTGGGGAACAGTCTGGCCACTTTTCTAAGGTGGGTGCTCTGTGCCGGCTGTCCAGACCAGCCCCTGGTACTCAGGGAGGACTTTTCAGAACCTGGAGATAGTAAGGGCGAGGGCTGCAAGACAGCAAAGATCAGAACACCCACCCTCTCATCCTCCCACCCCCACACACACTGGGAGTGCTGTCCCAGAGAGTTGTTGAGCTGCTACTGGCTCAATATCCCTGGCAGGGGGTGGGTGGAGACCCAGGACAGGAGGACTCACCCAGTGAGGAGAAGCAGGTTTGGAGACTTGTGTAAAAAAGCAGTCTGGCCACTTTTCCATAGGGCAGCTGTGTTGTGCTGGGGGTCCACTCCAGTCACTGACTGGTCACCTTGCACTCTCTAAAGCCTGAAAGCAACAAGGGCTGAAGCTGTGAAACAGTGAAGATGGCCGCCTACCCCTTCCTCTGAAAGCTCCCTCTCAGGGATGTGTAACGCAGCTACCAGTAGCTGGCTGGAGTTCTAAGCCAATGGGTCTTAGTCTGGCTTCTGAAGTGCTATGGAGGTGTGGCCTGCAGATCTTCGCTGCTCAGCTCCTTGGATTCAGCCCTTTTCATAGGAGTATGTATGGGGGTCTAACCTCCCACTTTTCTGGAGTAGCAGTTACTTGTGCCAGGAAGCCAGGATGCCAGCATATCTAAGGCTCCCGGGGCTCCGTGTGCACCTGAGCTAAGACTCCCCATAGCTCTGTGTGTGAGACTGAAGGCCCTAGTGGAGGGGGTTCATGAGGGGATCTCCTGCCCCAAGAGTAGCAAGGATCCCTGGGAGAAGCATTGGTCCGCAGTTGCTCATTCACTCACTGCTTCCCTGGATGGGGAGGCTCCCCTGGCTCCATGTTGCTCCTGGGTGGGCGGCTGTCCTGCCTTGCTTTTCTCCCTTCTCCATGGGTCAAGTTGTTTTCTTGATGAATTCCAATGCGTGTATCTGAATGTTTCGGTTGAAAGTGCAGTGTGTACTTGCCCCATCTATTCTCTCTGTGAGAGTAGTACACACTGCTGCTTCTAGTTGAGCGTAAGAAAAATAAATACCCCTTTAATGTGTTTGCTAGAAGATAGAAAACACTGCAAAGAACAGAGTAGAATTCATATTCTTAAAAACAAATATGAAAACTTATTCTACTTTCCTTCTTTACAAATGAAAATAAGCATATTTATTGTCCTCAATGCACTTTTTCCTTTGAAATTATGATTCCTCAGAAATACCTTTGGGGTTAAGAATATCAGCTGTCACACAGAGCTAAATCCTTTTAATTGTGAATTTTTCCCCACAAAGCTGAATGAACTACATCTTGACAGGGCAGGCAAAGCATTAAAGTGAAATATTTTTTCCCTCATTTTCTTTTTGTTTTTCTTTCTTTTTTATTTTGAGATGGAGTTTCACTCTTGTTGCCCAGAGTGCAATGGCATGATCTCAGCTCACTGCAACCTCCACCTCCCGGGTTCAAGTGATTCTCCTGCCTCAGCCTCCAGAGTAGCTGGGATTACAGGCACATGCCACTATGCCTGGCTAATTTTTTTATTTTTAGCAGAGATGGAATTTCACTACATTGGCCAAGCCGGTCTCGAACTCCTGACATCAGGTGGTCCATCTGCCTCAGCCTCCCAAAGTGATGGGATTACAGGTGTGAGCCACTGCGCCCAGCCCCCACTTTCTGAGGTGAGATAAAGGAAGAGTTAATCATTCATACTCCTTTTCTTGGGTTCAGCTGCTACTGTTACCTCTGATGGAGGACCAGGGATTTCTGGGACTTGAACTCTTATTATAGAAGGTCAGATTAGCCTTATGCTGAACAGCAGCAGCTACCTGGGCCTTTCCCCCCTGAATAAAAGTTCTGAAGATCTAAAATGAAAATATGAAAGGAAAGAAATTATCAAGTTCTGTCTACTAAATATCTCAGTGGATTTCCTTAAACACTAGAGCCTCAACTGGCAGATTTGTCTTAAGGCCTTTGTTTGGAGTGTTTTCCTACAAGTCTCAATGTCTAACAAAGGCAGGCGTTCCCGGTCAAGCTCTGCCAAATTCACCATGTGACCTAGGACCTGAAGTGAACTTTCGTTTCTCCTATTCTCTCTCTTTCCGACCTTCCCTCCCTCCCGAGGCAATGCAGACAGGAACTCAATACATTTTGAGTTCTCCATAGGAAAAGAATTATTATTATTAAAACAATAAGCTATCAAGATAAATGCCAATATATAATGCATATATATTCATCTATACATCAATATATACTAGCTTTCATATCTGTATTCTCTTTTTTCTTTCTCATCCAGAACTCAAGAAGACATGTCTGTATCCCTTTTTTTTTTGAGACAAAGTTTCACTCTTGTTGCCCAGGCTGGAGCTCAATGGCATGATCTTGGCTCACTGCAACCTCCACCTCCCGAGTTCAAGCAATTCTGCTGCCTCAGCCTCCTGAGTAGCTGGGATTACAGGCACCTGCCACCATGTCTGGCTAATTTTTGTGTATTTAGTAGAGATGGGGTTTCACCATGTTGACCAGGCTGGTCTTGAACTTCTGACCTCAGGTGATCCACCTGCCTCGGCCTCCCAAAGAGCTGGGATTACAGGCGTGAGCCACCGCACCCCGCCCAACATGTCTGTATTCTTAAGGCTGTGGAAGTGTCTTTACTATTTTGTTCTCTTAGGTGAGAATCCGGTCCTCACCCTACACTTTATTCCTCAGGTGAAGAGACTGTGTGTGTGTGTGTCCATTCAGGGAAGCATGAGGGCATTTGAATTCAGCTGAGCAGATTTAGTCATCTAGGAGCTGCTCCATTAAGTGTTTAACACAATAGTTAACAAAACAAAACTAGCAGGAAATTAATCTGGAATTTCCCAGTAACTACATGTTTTAGATAAGTTTTTGAATTGAGTCCAAGATGATGTGATAGTGCATGTTCATAATTAACTAAGAAACTGGGAAAAGCTTTCTTAATCTAAAAGCCAAAAATCTTTCCATGCAAGGAAAGAAAATCTTAATTGATTAACTCATTAATAGAGCAGGGAAAAGAAAACAAAAGCAAAAGTGAAAAAACTAACTTGAGATCTGGCTGAACTCATAATGTGTATTTGTTTTATTTCCAGTTGCTGCTTACCCTCATTAGCTGTGCAAGACCGAAGGATTTTGTGCTTTCTCTTGCCTGGCAATTGTTCAGTCCAAAATTTAGCCATGTTATTTTTGTGTTATTATCAGGAGCAAGAGGACATGTGTATTGGTGACAGAAGAGGGGTGAGAGGGCAGGGATGAGATGAATCTGATTAACTTCAGGGCTTATTAGAATAAATCTTGTAGGCTTGAAGAATCTAGAGAATCTTGTAGGCTTGAAGAATCTTGTAGGCTTGGAGAATCTAGAGAATCTTGTAGGCTTGAAGAATCTTGTAGGCTTGAAGAATCTTGTAAGCTTGGAGAATCTAGAGTTCTCTGAGAAATGGTAAACAGACTTTATAAATCCTGGCTATGTTGCTGCTATAATCTTCCTCTGACATAATCCCAAGAAATAGAAACAAATAGAAATAGAAATCTAATAGAAAAAGAACTATTTCCCAAGAAATAGAAAGTAAAACTGACAAAGCCAATGGAAAGAAATCAGTTTGGAAGCTGTTAATTTTCACGGGATCTGTGTTCAGTAACTGCCCTCTATCGGCTCCCTGAATAGCACACTATATAGGACGGAGAATCTGAAAGGCCTTTTTGCTGGTTTTCTTACGAACAGAGAGTTCATAAGCCAGGACCTTCTTCAGCCTCCAAGGTAAAGAAATTTGTGATCTCCAAGCTCCTCTTGTATGTATTGTGAACGCCACTGTCAGAAGAGAAACACCAAAGCTACTCACCTGGAAATGTTGCAGTATGAAGGCCAGGTATTTGATCGAGACTTTATTTAAATGTTAACTCTGTTAATGAATTTCTTTGCTAACTTCCCCTGCTTTATTTTCATGCCAAAAAACAGAGAGGTCCAGAGAACAGAACTCTGCACCACAGTCTAAAAGTGTTAGTTTCAGGCACAACACTGCTGTTTTTGAGCTGTGGGTCCTCAGACAAGCTATTTTAGCTTTCCGAGCCTCAGATTCCCACTTGCCTGCTTCTTCACCACTTCCTGGGGGGATAAGAGAAGACCAAATGATATGTTTGTGAAGGTGCTTTGCCACTGGTGTGTACCCTATGCAGACATGAAGCAATATTGGTAGTACTTTATAAAAGTAAGACGTCATTTTCTCATTCACAGGACTGAGGATTAGAAAGAATAATGCTGAGTTTCTGGCTGCCTCTGCTTTTGAGGACCTAGGAGGCATTCTGACCTAAAGAGAGTAGGCTCTGGGGTCAAACATAAATGTAAACACCGTTAGTGTGACCTTTGCAGATCATTTGTCTGCTCTGTGCTTCTACTATGCTATCTGTCTGCAAAGTAAAGAACTTCTTTACAAAATGCCTCATACAAGTGTGAATACAACAAATAATTTCCATCTCTAAAGTTCTTCATAGAAAACAGAATTATAAGATGCACTCACTATCCAAGAATAAACGATACCAGGAAAGGGCAAAAGTTAATTAATCCTCTTACGATAAAGAGCACATTTCAAGGTAAATAATAAAAATAATTATCTTAAAGTTAACAAAATGTATACGGTTATTTGCAACTATGCATTAATTCTTAGTCTGAAGAATGTTGAGGAGTTGATTTGGCATGAAGAGGACACATTTTCTTGGACAAAATTATAGGATGGCACAGTGCGACTTTGTTCAGCTCATACAACCTTTGTGTAAAACCATCGAAGGGGATCATTATACCAAAAACTTTTTTTTAGTCAACGGTTTTTATCAGTTTTCCAAAGGGATTTAAACAATTCTTTGACATTTAAGCTGGTACATTTTGGAAGTATCTCTGGTATCATCATCTTTACCCATTACTCTTCTTTAGTGTTAATTTATATGATTCCTTGTCTATTTTTTCTTCTTCAGTTTTCACCTAGTCATTGACACGTGACTATACTTGACGTTGGAGCAGTTCTCCAACATTATTTTCATCAATTTCATGAAATTCTGCATCTTTTGCAAGAATTACAACTCCACTTTACCATCTATCTGACTTGTGTTGTCAGATGTTTACAATATTCTATAAGTAGTAAGAGTTAGGCTGAAAAAGTTTTGACTTATGATCAGGGATAGTCATTCAAGCTAAGCAGAGAAGGTTGTTTGAAAGGGGAAAAATTTTATGGGTATTCAGTTCATCAGTGAATACTTTCATTTAATGGCAAATATTCCTGTATAATCATATTCTAGAGGAATTTGAGTAATGAAAACTCAGATAAGAAGGAGTCTCTGGGCCGGGCACAGAGACTGTAATCCCAGCACTTTGGGAGGCCGAGGCGGGCGGATCACAAGGTCAGGAGATGGAGACCATCCTGGCTAACGTGGTGAAACCCTGTCTCTACTAAAAATACAAAAAATTAGCCGGTCGTGGTGGTGGGCACCTGTAGTCCCAGCTACTCGGGAGGCTGAGGCAGAAGAATGGTGTGAACCTGGGAGGCAGAGCTTGCAGTGAGCGGAGATCACGCCATTGCACTCCAGCCTGGGTGACAGAGCGAGACTCCATCTCAAAAAATAAATAAATAAAATAAAATAAAATAAAAATAAAAATAAAAAAGGAGTCTCTGATAATGACTTTTTTTTATCCAAGAATTCCTTTTTGCATTTTCGGTTAAGTTGTAGTGGATTTAGGCTGAACCACATTCACTCTCATAAAGGACCTGCATTTACTTGTCAGTTCCCAACCTGGGTGAAGGGGTGCTAACTTTGCCCAATAAGATCAATTTCATTAGCATGGTGTTCTAAATCAATGTCTCTTAAACTCCAGTCTGTGCTATTCTCTTTATTAATATTCTGCAAACATATGTAAAATAAAGCTATATTTTAGTAGTTTGATGTCAAACAAAATTAAAAGTGATGATTCATTGAACTCATTATTTCTACCAGTAAAGAGAACAGTTAATTTTTTGTTATGTAAAAAGCCAGTAGTTTAATTAAAAGACATCACTAAGAGTGAAAGACTGGGGGCCGGGCTCGGTGGCTCACGCCTGTAATCCCAGCACTCTGGGGGCCGAGGCGGGCGGATCACGAGGTCAGGAGATTAAGACCATCCTGGCTAATATGGTGAAACCCCGTCTCTACCAAAAAATACAAAAAATTAGCTCGGTGTGGTGGCAGGCGCCTGTAGTCCCAGCTACTCAGGAGGCTGAGGCAGGGGAATAACGTGAACCCGGGAGGTGGAGCTTGCAGTGAGCCGAGATTGTGCCACTGCACTCCAGCCTGGGTGACAGAGTGAGACTGCTTCTCAAAAAAAAAAAAAAAAAAAGAGTGAAAGACTGGGAAGAGATATTTACAATAGATATATCCAATAAAAGGCTTGTATCCAGATTTCTGCCTAATTTTTGATAAGAAAGGCTGGGCATGGTGGCCCACAACTGTAATCTCAGCACTTTGGGAGGCTGAGGTGGGAAGATCACTTGAGCCCAGGAGTTTGAGACCTACCTGCATAAAATAGTGAAACCCTGTCTTTACAAAAATACAAAAATTAGCCTTGCATGGTGGTGTGCACTTGTAATCCCAGCCACTTGGGAGGCCGGGGTGGGAGGATCACTTGAGCCCAGGAGGTAAGTGCACATCACTGAACTCAGGAGGTCACCTGATCTCAGCTCACTGCACTCCATCCTGGGCAACAGAATGAGACTCTGAAACAAACAAACAAACTACACTTTAACAGGCACTTTACTGTATCCAAAAAGGGTATCCAAATGACCAATAGACATATTACCATCATTATTAGTCATAAAGGAAATCAAATTACAACCTCAGTGAGATACTGCTATACCTGTGGCAGACAACTAAAATTAAAAGGACTGACAATGCACATGCTGGTAAATATGTCGAATAACTGGAATTCTCACAAATTGCTGGTGAGACTATAAATTGTAAACCCACTTTGGAATACTGCTTGACAATAACTATTACGTTGGTGCAAAAGTAATTGCCATTACTTTTTTATTTTTATTTTTTGAGATGGAGTCTCGCTCTGTCGCCCAGGCTGGAGTGCAGTGGTGTGACCTCAGCTCACAGAAAGATCCGCCTCCCAGGTTCACGCCATTCTCCTGCCTCAGCCTCCCGAGTAGCTGGGACTACAGGTGCCCAACACCACGACCGGCTAATTTTTTGTATTTTTAGGGGAGACGGGGTTTCACCATGTTAGCCAGGATGGTCTTGATCTCCTGACCTTGTGATCCACCCACCTCAGCCTCCCAAACTGTTGAGATTGCCCACATGAACCACCGCACCTGGCCACCATTACTTTCAACGGCACAACCTGTAATTACTTTTGCACCAACCTAATACTAAAGCTAAATGTATGTATACGTTATCATCCAACAATTCTACTTTTCAGTATATACCCAAGAGAAATAAGTGCTTATGTACACCCAAAAGGCAGGTACAAGAATGTTCATAGCTTCTTTTTTTTAAACAAAAGCCAAACTAGAAACAACTCAATACCCTAGAATGGATGAATACATTGTATTATTTTCATACAGTGGAAAACTACATAGAAGTGAAAATGAACAAACTACTGAGATATGTACCAATGTGGCTTTAAAAAAAAAACAGACCCAGAAATATATAATGTATGCCTTATAAGAAGTTCAAAGCAGACAAAATTAGTCAGTGGTGATAGAGAGAAAATCAACAATCATCCTAGATGGGGATGGCATTGGCTGGAAAGGGACACAAGTGAGCCTTCTGGGGTGCTAGAAATATTTTATTTCTTGATCTGCATGGTGGTTCCATGGGTGTATATAAACATTCATTGAGCTGTACTCTGAAGATTTGTACATTTTTAATGTAAAATATATATAATTGCTATATCATTATTTTATATATAATCATATGTAAATATGATTGTATAATTTTTTAACTTTCAAGTTCAAGGGTACAAGTGCAGGTTTGTTACATAGGTAAACTCTGTTGTATAGAGTATTCATCACCCAGATTTTAAGCCTAGTATGTGTTAGTTATTTTTCCTGATCCTCTCCCTCCTCCCATCCTCCACCCTCCGAAAGGTGCCAGTGTGTATTGTTCCCCTCTATGTGTCCATGTATTCTCATCATTTAGCTCCCACTTATAAGTGAGAACATATGGTATTTGGTTTTCTGTTCCTGCATTAGTTTGCTAAGGATTATGGGCCCTGCATGCATTAGGTATTAAGCCCCACATGCATTAGGTGTTTGTCCTAATGCTATCCCTCCCCTTGCCCCCACTCCCCAGCAAGCCTCGTTTGTGATATTCCCCTCCCTGTGTCCATGTGTTCTCATTGTTCAATGCCCACTTATGAGTGAGAACATGTAATATTTGGTTTTCTGTTCCTGTGTTAGTTTAAGATAATGACCTCCAGCTCCATCCATGTCCCCAGGCATAAGCCACCACACCCGACTGATCTTGTTCTTTTTTATGGGTGCATAGTATTCCATGGTGTATATGTACCACTTTTTCTTTATCCGTTCTATCACTGATGGGCATTTGGGTTGATTCTATCTCTTTGGTATTGTGAATAGTGCTTCAGTGAACATATATGTGCATGTGTTTTTCTAATAGAATTATTTCTATTTCTTTGGGTATATACCCAGTAATGGGGTTGCTGAGTTGAATGGTATTTCTGTTTTTAGGTCTTTGAAGAATTGCCACACTGTCTTCCATAATGGCTGAACTAATTCACACTCCTACCAACAGTGTACAAGCATTTCTTTTTCTCCACAACCTTGCCAGCATCTGCTATCTTTTTTTTTTTTTTTTTTTGAAACAGAACCTCACTCCGTTGCCCAGGCTGGAGCGCAGTGGTGCAATCTAGGCTCACTGCAAGCTCCTCCTTCCAAGTTCACACCATTCTCCTGCCTCAGCCTCCCGAGTAGCTGGGACTACAGGCGCCCGCCACCATGCCTGGCTAATTTTTTGT